GTTTAGCATTTATTTCATTTGTATTATTAAAAATGAGTAAATATTTTTATCTAACAGATTTCACCACCTTGTTGTAAATTTTTATATAAAATTCCATTGTGATATTTTGAAAATGTTTTCTATTACATAAATCAAATCTCCAAAAATCCATTTATCCTTTCTAATGTTTGAAGCATTAGTAAAAATGTGAAAAGTTTTAAAAATTGGAGTTGTTTATCAACTCCAATTTTTAAAACTTTTCACATTTTTACTAATGCTTCAAACATTAGTTAACTGATAATGTTTGACATCCATATAGCATTTCATTGCCTTTTTGATATTTAAAAGAAAAATTAAACAACTACAAATTTCCAACATTTTGAGTAAAATGTACTTTATTTATTTGTAAGATTACATATTGTACAGTAACATTTATTCTTATCAGGCATGAAACCGTTATCATGAGTATCTCTAGTTAGAATTTAATCTTTTATTAAACACTCCTTTTCTTTTTGTATTTACAAATATTATTTATCTCCACCTCCACAATCTCCTGTTTATAAAGTATTTGTAAATGACATTGGTTGAATGTTTGCACATCTCAGATATTTTCTTGTACAGTCAGCAAATGATTCATTTGAATGGGGCCTTTGCAGGCAAAGTATTTTGTGTAAAAACAACAATCTCATCGTTGTCCATTTAGATTATAAAGCTGCAAATTCTTATGTACTCTTGCTTTTTACTCTCTTTTCTAAGATTATATATTGCTTTGATTTTTTTTTTTCTTTCTTTTTCTTTTCTTTCTTTTCTTTTCATCCCCCCTACTTTCATTTTTCTCATTTCTTTTTCATATTCATTTGTTTTTACTTTTTAAAATTTTTAATTCAATCTTTTTTCCGGTTGTTACAGGAATTTTTAAAATGAGGAATTATTATATTCAGGTATATAACACAAGCATCTTGGTGGTTAAACTCACAATCTTTTATTCAATTCAGAGGTAAATTGTTCTCATTCCACTTTAATTCATATAAGTTAATACTCACCAGTCCACCTTTTGTGTTGCTTATCAATTTCTTTCATTCTGTGACATGTGTCTTTTGGATTAAAGTGATCCCTGATGGTTGTGAGTTAAATCCCTGCATTTGGTTGTGCTGAAAAGTTACACACTTTCTTTCAATGAAAGAAATGGACAAGTTACACAAAAGTGAATAAGACTAGCAAGTATTAACTGATATGAAATATCCCTTAACCATGAAAAACACAATGAGAACTCCCTTTGGATTAAATAAAGAATATAGTTAAAAATTCAGAAACAGTTACCAAATATGACAACAGACACCTGAAGAAAGCTGGAGGATACAAGTTGAAATATTGCGAGTTTAAAAATTAAGACGAGTATACTAGTCTGAATAATAATAGCATATAATAACAATCTTTTTCCCTCTTTAAGAATTCAAGACACTCCTAGAACACTTCATGATATTAATTAATTATTGGTGGTTCAAAAATCTATCCCAATTGTGAAAGTTTGCCAAGAAATCAAAACTTTTTCTTTTGATAATTTATTTCACAGAATTAGTATAGCTACTTTGCCTGGAATTTTGCCTTGTGTAATGCTTCAATATAATATTTACATTGGACAATAGTATTAATATTGTTCAAACTAAAATTGCTTTATGATTTTCATTTTATCAATTTACATGTAGTGGCTGATTTTTTTTCTGATAAAGAACAAGAATAGAAAGTCACTTTGGGGTTTAATCTTTCTTGAACTTCTGAAAAGTGCAAACTTCTGCATAAATGTCAATTCAGAATTAATGGCACAACATCCTTTTTTTTCTTTGTTTTGTTTTTTTTTGTTTTTTTATAAAAAAAACACTTGATTTCTTTGCATTTAGAAACCCACAATCTGCTTCTGCCCATCACCTTTTTGATTATTAAATTTTTTTTTTGTTTTTTTTATGATAACCATGACAAAAAATCCTTTTGTTTCCCTGTTTATAAGCAAACTATCCTATATATATATATATATATATATATATAAAAACATTGAAGTCAACACTCTGTTTCATGCTAGATGCAATCATTAGGCCACGAAGGTTGAAATTTTCCTGGCTATTTATATATATATATATATATATATATATATATATATGTCAGTGGTGCATTGTGGGTAATCTATTCTGGCGGTAATTTTTGTGGGAGTGGCTTGTTTATTTATCACTACTATTCCACAATGAAGTTGCATGGATAAAGAAAGGATCTTTGACACTACAATGGAAAGCTTTGATGGTGCAGACACCTGCAAAATCATAGGTATATGTTTACTAAATGAATTAAGCAAAATAGATAAAAAAAAGATGCAGGACTCTACAGGGACAACGGCCTCATAATCTTAAACTACAACAAACAAAACACAAAGCTAGAAAAGCAATAATAAGGATTTTTAAAAATAACGGATTTGACATAGATATAAAAACTAAACTAAATGAAGTAGACTTTCTACATGTTACCTTCAACCTAAGAAAAGACACATATAAACTATACAGAAAATCCAATGATAAACCACTGTACATACACACATCCTCCAATCAATCACCTGCCTTCAATAATCAAACATATACCAAAATCGATTAACCGCAGACTTTCCGACAGTTCTTGCAATAAAACCATATTTAACGAAGCTAAGAAAGACTACAAAACAGCCCTAAAATATTGTGGATTCCTGGCAACACTCACATACTCAACACGGAGCACAAGAAAGGCCAACAGGAAGAGAAATATCATATAGTTCAACCCACCATACAGTGAAAACGTAAAAGCAAACTTAGGTAAAATATTCTTCAAACTCTTAAATAAACACTTCCCGGAATCAAGCACTCTACACAAAATATTCAATAAAAACTCTGTAAAAATCAGCTACAATTGTACCGAGAACATGGCACAAATAATAAAAAAGCACAACAGGAAAACTATCAACAAACCACCTGAACAAATTAAACCCACATGTAACTGTAGAATAAAGAATGAATGTCCTTTAAATAGTAATTGCTTACAAAAAACATAATATACTAAGCCATGGTACCAGATAATGAAGAAAAAGTATACATAGGAGTAACTGAAGGACCCTGGAAACAAAGAAACTATGCACACAAAACATCTTTCACAAATAGTAAATATGCGAACAGCACAATGCTTTCCAAGTATATCTGGGAAATTAAAAACAAAACACAAATCACACCAAAAATATCATGGAAAATAAGGAAAAGATCATCAGCCTACAACAATCAATCAAAAACCTGCAAACTTTGCTTGGAGGAAAAAATAGCTATTATTACCTTCCCAGACCAAAATAAATTATTAAAAAAACTATCTGAGCTCATCCCAAAATGCAGACATGAAAAAACAAATTTTTTTTAAAACGTTGGTTAAAAAATCTTAAAAATGAAAACTAAAAATGAATAAATAAAAAAAAAAAAAATAATAAAAAAAACAAGTAAAATAAATTAACCCAAGCAAATAATAAACAAATTAACAAACCACTCTTGTTAGAATAGACGAAATAGAAAAAATAAAAATAAAATACATAAAAAACAAGTAAAAATAATCAACCCAATTAAATAAAGTAAATAATAAACAAATTAATGAACCAATCCCGCCAAAATAACCGTTAGAATAAACTACAACAACCAATCCAAAAATTAGACATAAAAATAGCTATAACTGCTATATAATGAAAAAAATATGACTGTTACTCAAAAATCAAATGGAATAAATAAAAATATACAAAATAAAAGATAAGTAAATAAATAAAAACAAATAAAAATTAATCCAAATAAATGAACAAATTAACAAATTGTCCCCGCTAAAATAACTGTTAGAACTAATAAAAGTAAGCAAAGACAAGTAAAAATAATCAATCCAAATAATAAATAAATTAAAAATTATCCTCCCACCAAAATAACAGAATAGACTACAGCAATCAATCTAAATACTGGACAATTAAATAGCTTTAATTATCTTCCCAGACCAAAACAAACTATTGAATAAGAGACCTAATCAAATCCCCCACCAATTTTTTACTACGTTAATAAAACATCAAAAACGAAAAAGAATAAATAATACAAAATGAAAATGGAAAAACAAGTAAAATAAATTAACCCAAACAAATAAATAAACAAGCCACTCCCAGAATAGACTACGCACAATGCACCACTGACCCATATATATAAATAGTCATGGAAAATTCCGATATTCGCGGCCTGACGATTGCGTCTAGCATGAAACAACCTGTCGCCTCTTAGTGTTGACTTCAATATTCACTTTTATATTTATATTTCAATACACTCTATCTCTGATATTGACTACTTTATCCCATAAATATAGCACACCTTAAAACTATATTTCTTCATATATATATCTATATATTACTGTTTAACATTCAAACTTTTTGTTTTGTTAATATTTACAAGATATTTTTTAAGAAAAATAAATTTAAACATTTCTGTTTCTGTCTTATTTGGAAAAATTATGAAATAAGGTTTACAGTGAAGAAATCCCAAGTTCATTTTTAAATTTTAAAATTCACTTTCCAGGACAGAAAATAATCCTTTTCCATAAAATGTATCTCAAGTAAATTTTACTTTCAGTGATCAACACACATACACACAGAAAAACACATGTGCAATGAAATTTAAAGTCTAAAATTTTTTAAATACTAAACAAAAACAATTCTCAATATTTTGACCCAGTAGTAAAAAGAAAATCTTTACACATTAAGATACTTTGCATGATCTATTTTTAATAAATTTCTTAACAATTCAATGTTTATATGTATCATTGAAATTCTTAAAAGAAATTGGAACCAATTCTCACACACTTTAAAAATATATTCTAAGATCCAGTTTTCTTCACTGCATCATTCTCTCTTTGAATCAATACTTCAGTATCTCTATCCTGAATTTCTTTCAGTATATCCACCTTGAAGTTTTCTGGTAGTAAATTTCATTACTGTATTTCAGGTTGATATTCAAACTCCAAGAGTCAAAGGCAAAATTCCAATGGTAAGGATTCGGAACCCATGGGGTGAGAGTGAGTGGAATGGTCCTTGGAGTGATCAGTAAGTAAGATCTACTGCATCTAAAATTGTAGATATACACAGTCAATGATGATAACTTCTTTCCAAACTATGGCAATCTTTTAAAAAAGTCTGGTATCCAAAGTACATTTTTCTTTGGCATTTCCATTTTAAATTTCAGGGACACATCATAAAGGATGAATAAATGCCAAAATTTTTTGCATGAAGAATTTGAACTTAACAGAAGTAGTCTTCATTTTAAGCATTTTTTTTTTTTTTATCTAGCTTATAACTTGTTTGGAATTTTCATCACTTTTTGGTTATTTACCTTTCTTGAAATTGTTCTTTTGTTAATCAGTTTTGTAAATTTAAAATTGAATCTATATGTAACACAAATATTCTTATTATTGGAGTCATGAAAAATCTACCGCATTGTTATAAACCTGCATTGCTTTCTGCTTTAAATCAATAAATTGGCTTTTAACATTCAAAATTGTATTCTCCACACATTCTTTTATCCCTGTGTAAAAAAAAAAAACAAAAAAAACTAGCTTTTAATAAAATGTTTATCTCTAAAAATTACTTATAAGATAATGAAATAATATAATAATATTTAACATATCTTATTTCAAGGTCAGAGGAATGGCGTTTCATTCCAGATGAAGAAAAATTGGAAATTGGCCTTGTGAATGAGGAAGATGGAGAATTCTGGTAAACTGATAAAAAATTTTCAGATTTTTAAATCATTTAATTTTGATATGAATATAAAAGCTCAGAATTGCAAGATACAATTTTTTTTTATAGAATGTGAAAAAAAAAAAATGATTGCAATGCAAATTTCTCGATAGTTTTCTATGAAATTTTTAATGAGATTTTGAGCTTTATAAAACTTTTGACTGTTTAACTGAGTTATGTTCTGAATTAGATTGGAACGTTAGCATCTGAACATTTGGAATATATTCAATAATCTTTTTGATCACATGAAAAAGGTGAAAAAGTAACTACATATATATCTTCTATAAACAGGTTTGAAATTATAAATTGTTAGTAATTTTATTTTTTTTCATTATTCTGAAAACTTCTGCTACTTGAATGCTTCCACTTTCTGTTGAGATCATCTCTGGACAAAATATAGCGTATCAACCTTTTATCATTTTTCAGGTTTTCATTGAGTAAGTAAACTGGATTTGGGTGTTGGGGTTTTTGTAATACCACAAATAGAATGCTTAAGAAAAAGAAAATTCAAATTTCAAAATCTTTGATATTTCTAGGCTTCTGTACTTTTAAAATATAGTAAAACAAGACCTACTATATAAAAACCAAGTAATGAACCACTTTAGCTTTTTACTAGTGATGGGACGATACCAATAAGCACCAATTTCAATATGATTTCCAATACATATGAGTAAAATCATTATTTTCAGGCCCTACAGTTGGTTTGGGAAACTTAATGAACAAAGTACATTTATTAATAAAACATTAAGTAGAAAAATGAATACAAAAGCTTATGAAATAAAGTTAGATATCCTTTTTATTTAAAAAACTGGGTAAAAGTTTAAACAATAAAGAGAACAATTTCTTTAGGTAAATCACTTAAGTTAGCTACAGTTGATATAATGTTTTACTTTGGAAGGCTTTTAAGATTTCTGATGGTAACCAAACTACACTTTTCTGCTTGGCATTGGACATACTTGCTATAATTGGGTTCTGAAAATAATAAACATCAGTTAAAATTTTAAATTTTTCACTGTTAGATTAAAAAAAAAAAAGATCCAACTAATAATAGTTTGCTATTAATTGTAAAATACAAAAAGGTCTTTTTTTTTTTTTTTTTTTTGTCCACCTTTTTAAGTTTTAACAATCAAAGGTGCCATCTAAATATTATGAATTCTTAAAATTTTAGATGCAACACTTTTCAACGAATGGAACAAATTTAGAGGCATGACAATTCAATTTCAGCATGCACTCCAAAAATAAGAGACACCTTTTATGTTTATATTTATATACATATATATATATATATAATATTGCAACAATAATACTTTAAGCAGAAGGGCATCATCCTAAGTATTGTGGTTTAACTCCTGCATATATTTTGATAAAGTACAGTGTATCTATTCCTCCAGGACAGTGAATAAAAAAATTAATGCAAATTTTAAATTTGCTCATGGATGTTTAATAAGAATTAAATATGAATTATCACAGCAACTTAATAAATAAATAATAAAGGCTCTTCAATCTTATCTAAAAAAATTTGATCACTATTAAGTTTTACTGTCTAAAATAAATTTCTAAAAGAATTTAATAATTTCTAAGAAGAATCAGTGTTTTAATTTTTGTTAAAAGGAAAGTGTAAAAGTGCAACAATGCAATGAAAACATCCCTTGATATTTTTTTTCCAGTTATTAGATTATTAGAAGATGAAATTTTACTAGTTTTATTTTTAAAATATTGAAACAAATGTTAAAAGTGGAAAAAAGTATAGCTTAATCACACCAGATAAAAATGTGATAAAAATACTAATTTTTAAACTTTTTTGTACATTTCTACTTATGAAACTTGCATCTTGTTTGGCTTTTATGAGGAATAAATGATAAAAAATGTACAAAATATTTTACATGCCATAATAGCTTAACACTGGAAAGCTCAATTATGTCAAAGAAAAATATTAGTAAAATAAATACAATTTTTGATGGAAATTAAATTTTACATTTTTTTAATACAAAATTTTGCCTGAAAAAGCTTTTTTCAGGAAACTTCAGATAAGTTTTTTTTTTTTTTTTTGTTTTTTTTTTTAGTAAATAAAGATGAAAATCCATTTCAAAAGCTATAAAATTTTAAGAAATACATGAATTTCATAGAAACAAATTTAAGTTTCATAAAAAGAATGTTACTTTTTTAAGTCTCAGTTATTGAAAAGTTTTATTTTTGTTTACATAGTATGCTATGTAAGCCAAGACTAAAAATGATTTTTGGGATTAAAACTATTATCAAAACAAATTGTTCTAATTTAACTGCCTCACTACAAGGACAATTTGGGACAAGGTAAATTTTTCATGTGAAGAAATCAAATGTGACATTTGCAAGAATTTCATACATACATACATACATTTTTTTTTTTTTGTTTTCCTTTTTTATAAATCAAAAAGAAATAATAAAAATTGTCTTAAAAGAGCCCGGCAGAACAACAATGTGAATTCATTTTCTGTATATAGTACATAATTGTAATTATAATTAAGAGAAATAAAAAAAAATTTATTTTGAACTAAAACGAAGTTCAAGAACTGAGAACCTTACACATTTTATTTATTTATTTTCTTACAAAAGTAAAATAAATTTACATCATGCTTAACTTAAGTTTTATGATCTATAGATTTGAGTTTTACTCACATTTTACAGTCAATAAATACTTATATCTTATCATTTATACCAAGAATGGAAAATTAAGTTTTAAACAAAAAAAAAAAAAAAATCCAAAGAACATTTTCCAATACGCCCAAAAGTTCTGATTTTTGATTCTGATTAATCATCCCATTACTAATTTTTACTTTCATTGTAAATTGAATCCCTTTGAAAAACTTAAAATATTATCAAAGAAATAAGTCACATTCATTCAAAGCTCATAAGAAAAAGGGGCAAACTTGGATCTTAATGCTTGCAAAAAAAAAAGTATCAAAAGGATGGTTTTTCCCTTGACACCACTATTATTTTAACTACTCTTCAGCAATGTTTATTGTTTTAAAAAGTGATTATTAGAATAGAAATAAAACCTAAACCTAATGAAATTTATACATTTTTTAACAAAATAATAAACACTATTTAAAAGACTGTTTATTTACACTTATTTATTATATTGTTTATTGGTATGGTTGGCAAAACATCAGCTAATTGCCAATTGATCTGAACTTTATAAAATGGTAAATAAGGATTTCCTTATAGCTGGTTTATATATTTTTATAATTCAATAAATGTTTATAAATTTATGAATACCAAATTGTTTTCATATTTATTTCTTTATAAATTGGTAAATAATAAATATTCCATTGCATTATAGTTTTAAATGTATTAGTTTTTGGAATGTAAATATAAAATTATTCATGTAAATAAACAATCTAATAAATAAATAGTGTTTTATATTTTTGTTGTAAATTATATTTCCCTACAAAAAATACACACTTTAGTTTAATTGAATCTGATCCTAAATAATAATCATTTTTTCTTGGTCCATTCTGTGGAGATCTTTGAAGAATCAGAAATTGAAATCTGCATTTGATCCAGATGTTAACTATTTTCATATTTTTGTCTATTGATAAAAATGAAAAGAACTTCAGATGCATAAGATTATGTAGATATTTGTCAAAAAGTAAGTTTACATTTCTCCCCGAATTATGTTTAGATTATTTTAAGTTAATTGTTAATATTAAAATTATGCCAGGATGTCCTTCCAAGACTTCTGCAAAAACTTCAAGAAACTTGAAATTTGTAACTTGGCACCAGATTCTTTGGATGAAGAAGAACTAAATGCCAGATCCAAGAAACGTTGGGAATCAACTTGTGAGAATGGATCTTGGATACCAGGAGTTAGTGCTGGTGGCTGCAGGAATTATCTTGGTGAGTGTGTTTGTTTGTTTGTTTTTTTTTTACCAGCATTATTTTCATTTTTGTAATGAAATAATGTTAAATAATAAGAAAAGGTTTGTGACATACAAATTTGTAGCAGTAAATTACCTCAATGACCCAAAAGGGCTAGAGTTACATGTATGTTTTGCAAGGGAGTGTGGAGATGGCAAATCGACAAGCTTCAGATGGACATCACTTTGTGCTGATAAAGGGGATGGTGTTGCTTGTAGCCACTTTTATTGGCTGGTTTTGGGCACTCATTGGCTGAGTGTTGGCTAGGTTAGGTGTATAAAAACATGGTATGCTCATTTAAGAGGTGTTCAGCTTTTCGTTTGGAACAGTGAGTGGTGTATTGGAGAACGAGGCAAGAAGTGTGGCTTTGTTTTGCCTAGTGAACCTATTGGACTCGTACTACCTTTCTTTTTCCTGTGTGTGCTTCCAACCAATTTTTGCAACAAAATTGTATTATTTTTGTAAACCCTATTTTTGTGAATATCTGTGTTTAAGTAGATCCCCTGTTTTGTTTGTCTCTTTTTAATTATGAATTATGTTTACCAGTCTGCACATTCGAGAGACTTAATAAAGAAAATGCCAGAGAGCACATTTTCTTAAGCCTCACAAATGTACATGCCAGTAGATGTAATTCACACTGATTAAAAAAGGAAATAAACATATCTGCACAAATAATGTTTACAATAAGAAATAATGTGTAATTTATCTAAAACCTTTTTTCTGTAAATTTCTGAAATGAGAAATTATTATTATCGATTGATTTCTTGAAAGTGGTTTCATCTAGGTTGTCATAGAAGCGTTTCAGAGCCTCTTGCCTTGTATTCAAAAATTCAAACTGACAACTTTAATTAAATCATGAGAACAATGTGCTGTTGTTCATCCCAGGGGAGATAACCACAATGGTGGATTAATACGAGTTCTCTCCCCTAGCCTGAATAACAGAATGGCAAAGATCTACTCAAAGGGTTTGGTTCAAAATTCTCAGAATATTACTCAACATGACTGGTACCTGGAGAAGGCCAGAAACTGTAAAAAGTGTTGTAAGTAACAATCAAGATGAGAATACCAGTTTAAATAAATTGGTATATGATGTCTAAAAGGTGTTAGAAAATCTTCAAAATTAAACTTGGGTGTTTTTCTGTTTGGTTCTTTTAAACTGAACATTTTTGGTAACATTTTTAGAACTGTTATTAAAAAACAAATAAATTCAGGAATTTCATACATAAGTCAGCAGCAACCAAAATGAGGTTGAGGGATCTGTTATTTAGGAAATTATTTTTTTGAGTACAATCATTTTTCTCACTAAGATCAAAAGTAGCATGCTTTATCTTTCATTTCTAATTCCAGGAATGTGAAAAGGAATTGTTAACTTCTTCACTTTTTCTTATTTGTGTCCAGTTAGTCCAATGCCATACAAGTGAAAAAATATTTAATGTGAATATTTTCATAGATCTTGAATGAATTCTTTTTACTTTCTTTAAAAGTATATGTTTTATTCTCTATATAATGTAATGAAAAAACCCACTAAATAAACCCAAACATTCAACTGTTTAGCCATTTGGTCGAATTTTGAAGTGAGTCTGACTAAATCTTCTCAGTAATCTCTCATTAGCAGTATAATTGGTTAATTTATCTTGCATTGTAAGATCTGATTTTTAAACTCTTTGTAAATTTTATGCAATAATCCAAAAATGTCTGAAATGGATGTATTATTTATTGATCTATTCTTGGCTGGGTTCTGATTGTTTGATTGAAATTATGAGAGAAGGTATTAATATTAAGATGAGTTATCAAAAAGAAATCTTTGTTTTGTCTTGGCAAAATGATGCACAAATTGGCAATTGTTGTGAGAACAAAACCAGGTTATAAAATCACAAGGCTTTTAGAGTTGGTATTAATTGTTCAAACTATTCTCAAATCTTAATAAAGACAAACTTTTATCATCCAATTTTTTTTAAGAAGAAAAACCAAACATTTGTTGATGTCAAAGATTTCTTTTAATTTTTGGAACTTTTGAAATTTTAGTTAAAAATCTTGTTTCTCTAGAATTCATATGGAAAATTTTAACATCTTTTTGTGGTGAAAAACACATTGCAAAAATCAGATAATCATTGAATTTTAATGAAACTTTCAGGACTTATTCACAAATGAAAATTATTTTTGGAACATTTGTTTTTAGAAAATTTTGGTAAAAAATTTTTTTTTTCTTTTTACATTTGTATCCCACATTTTTATGAAATTTAGAAAAATTCCTTTTTATAGGGCTTAATGTTATAAGACTAAATCCTATGAGAATTTAAGTCATCAAATTTTGGGGGTCAAACAGGACTCCCAGCTACAGAATATCTGCTCTGAATTATAAAATAAAAAATGCAATAAAACTAAGACATTTTCTAATTAGAAATTATTTTAATTTGGACACTATTGTCTTGAGAAAAAAATTGTTTCAATGAATAATTAATTTTTACAAGAATTGTTTTCTTTTATTTATTTATTTTTTTATTTTTTTAAATTTTAATTATAATATTATTTTAGAAATTTTTACCATTTAACATTAAGTATTAATTTGTAGAGGTTAGGTGATATTGTTATTAAGCAAAAACTATATTTACTAATCATAAATGGAAAAGCTTACTACAATTCAGTGACTATCCTCCTCCACTGTAGTATTTTATAAAGAATTTTGGATTTTGTGTGTGTATATAAACATGCTGATTTTTGTAAATATGGACATCCATACATGACCTTATCAGAAAATAACAGTGGTAACTTTAGTAAATTTAAAATGTACTGATAATTTTCTAATATTTCTTCAACCAGCATCTTCATAAATAACCTTAAATTCAATAAAACATTAGTTTACTTAGAAAATTTCCCTAATTTTTAATAATTACAGGGTAGTTAAAAAAAATTATATAAAAAAGGTGTTCACATTATATTCATCATGTAAATGTCAGTTATTTTCCCTGTAAAAAAAAATTGTCAAACATAAGTCTGTTGAGAGAGTTGTCAAAACCTTATAAAAACACCCACTTCTGTGTCAAAACATTCTTTTCTGTGATATTTTAAAATAAAAGTAATATTTGTTTCAAATCAGATTAATTAAACTTTAAATCAGATCATCTTTCTCGAATAAAATTTCAGAAAAATATTTTATTTTTGGAAGATTTTTTTTTAATAAAGAATTACGTTTACAGAATTGTCCATTTGGCAGATTTCAGCTGTTTTTAGAGACTTTAAAAAATCATTCAAATAATTTAAATTCAGTTTGAAATACAGCAAAGTATTTTACTTATTATAAATATTAAATTTAATCTATTAACTTGAAATTGAAACTAAAATAAGTGCTTCAAGATTTTTAATTTTTAAAAATGCATTTTAAACCTTAGGTATTGCTTTTCATTGGAGGTACCTAGTTATATATCTGAAAGAATGTTAATTTATAATAGAAAATGGTCATTAATTCCAACACAAACAAGCAATATGAAATAATTGTTACTTTCAAGGTAAATTATACATTAAGCAATAAAAAATAGTCATTAGTTCCACGGTGGATTGTATAAATAAGCAAGAGGAAATGGTCATTACTTCCAAAGTAGTATGATATGTAAAACAAAACTCTAAACAGAAGTAAAAGTACTAAGCTTTATTTAGCTAAATGAAACTCGGCTACAAAATAAGGGGGTGGGTGAGGGGTAAGTCACAGATTATATATCCTGCATGGATGAGTCTATTGCTTGTACAACGTGAGCTTAGTATACCACATTCTTCACTCCTTGGGAAATTGTGGTGTTAACATCCATAACAATTTAGGCGTTTCATTGTCCATCCAGATCTCCTTATCTGTTGAACCTCAGTAATATTTCCATTACATGTTGTGCCCTCTTCTGGAATCGGGAACAATCAGAGGGTACTCCTATCTTGTTTTGCGGTTGGAGAATCAGGGATTAATTCCATTTCAGGGCAGTGACAGATTGTGAACAGATATGGTAGACTCCCTTCCTCCTGGTTCTCTTATGTTGGCGTATGTCGGATTACTGTCAAGAAGCTCAACTTGGTCCACATAAGAATTGGTGTTACCGTTTCATACAAACCTTTTTAATAGTATGAGATCTGGTGACATTAGCCAGGACTCCTGTATGATGATCAGCTCAGGAATGCAAAGAAGCATTTATGAGGGGGTGGCATTTGTTGAGGTACACACCAATGATCTTATGGAGTGTAACACTTCAGGAAGTACCAATTCCCAGTACTTTTCCAGGTATGTTACGCAACCTAACAGCTAGACAAATCACCTTCCATATAATTCCATTAAATCATTCAAGCTGTGCATTCCTGGTTGGGTGGTATGGAGTGGTTTTACTTGTTGCAACCCTCCCTTTGGGAGAGAGTTTCTTAGTTCTTTAGACATGAAGGACACCCTTCTAGCTGGGCATCTCGGCTAAGTTGAACAATAGATCTAGGGATTTAATTATTGATGTCGTGTGCATGTTTGGACATGGGAAGATGAATGAAAACCATGAGTGTTTGTCAGTTACTACTAGTAGAAACGTGATATGTATGACAGAAGGCACAGGTCCCTTGAAGTTGATACTTAGTCATTCCATGGGTCAGGTCACCTTGATAAGAGTGCCTTCTGGTGAACTTTGGAAACTAGTTTTAATTTCTGCACAGATTCTGCAAGAAATGCACCCTTTTTTTTTTTTACTTACTCTGAAGAAAAAGGGAGATTTTTTTTTGCTCTAACAAAATGCAAGAATCTAGTAATTCCAGGGTGGCATCGTCCATTGTGAATGTTGGTGAGAGCTGAAGTGGTAATGGCTGAACAAGCATAGGCTCAGCTAAATATGTCAGAAACCACCTTCTCCTTGCCAGGATGATATTTTATCAAGTAGTCAAATGCTGCAAGTTCTAACTGCTACTCCTAAATCTTAACATTTTTAATTTTGGTATACCTTTCATTGTTAAAAATGAAGGCC